CAATAAAGAGATAGTGGTTGTTATTTGTCTACAATATGTAAAGACACTGCAGAAAATTTTCCTTTCCTATTGACATAAAGGTCTATTAAGGACATGCATTGGTGAAAAGTTAAAATGTATACAAACTATAGTTAGATCACTAGGATTGCAAACAACAAGCACTATCATGAAACTTATCACCAATAAAATGTGAAAATCTTAAGTGGAAAAACTGTTTCTGCCAGGCAGAAACGTGGAGAAAATTTTCACAGCCAAGTACAGATTGGTTAAAATATTCTTAAACATTGATTTTTAGCACATACATAAACAAGATCACCCAATGTGTCTTCTAACCTATTCTCCCTGGTATAACACTGAGCTTATCCCAGTCTCTCTGATAACTTAACTGTTGGACTCATTCCAGTTTCTCTAATAGCTACTTGATTCACTCCAGTCTCTCAGATATGTATAGTTCTAGACACCACTTTCTCTTCTATATAGATAAGGTTGCATTGAGAGTATTGTATGCCTTTCTCCATGATTAGATAATTAAGTGAGAGATTGATGGGTCGGGACCTGACACTGTCCTGTCTCCACTTCAATTAAATTCAAGGAAAAATATACATTGATAGCCTTCTTGCTCTACTGCCAATTGAGGCAGTTAAGCAGTAACTAATGCCCTGTTAAAGGGTCTAGTAGCAGTAGGTGGGAAAGTTCACTGGGAGAGGAGCAATACAAGCAAACTTGCAGGTCATTTATTTTCTCCCAGGAATGGGCTGGGGTAGGGTGTGGCAGGGTCGTGGTGTCGGGTTGGATTGTGGAAGGGTGTAGGGGGTTGGTGTGACGTGTATGAGGGGTGGGTATCGGTGGGATTGTGTGGGGATGGTAGAGAAGGCCTCCATCAAAAATCTCATAGTGGCAAAATGAGGGAACTGAAATTACGAAGAGAGTGAGCTTCCTGAGAGCCATGTCCCTGCTCTTGCTGTCTATTTTATAGAATCATAGGTTCCCTACAGGGCCAACAGAGGCCTTTTGGCCCACTGCACCAATTCTCCAAAGAGCATCCCACCCGCACCCACACCCCGACCTTTTCCCACAACCCCACAAGGAGAACATGCAAACTCCATATAGACGGTAACCCAAGGCTGCAGCAGTGCTAAGCGCCGTGTCGCCCTCACCCATACCCTTCAATTCCCGCACCATGAAATCTCTTCCGCCAATCACTCAGCTCTGGCCTGGGTTGCCTCTTGATCCCGATTATGGGGGATGTTATTCCAGCAGTAGTCACCATCACCATGGCAATGCTACTGAACAAATGTGATCACAGCCAATTAGAGGTCGGCTGCTCTTGATGAGTGGGGCTTTGTGTTCCCAGGATTTTTAATCCCTCAAAAGCCTGACAGTGACCTGTTAATTTCCTGTTTGGTTGTATATAGTGAACATTTCCCAAAGGAGACAAACACGTGTCTCTTGACGGCTCTCCAACCAATGGTCAAAACTATAAGATTGCTCTTCCCCATTATAAGTACTGATGTATTTGCCCCACTATTACAGCTATAGTTAGATCTAGCTTCCTCTTGTCTCTCATTCATAGTTGGTGTTAAGATTACTCTTCTCTGTTGATTTGATATTATTAAATAGTGTCTAGTCTTTCTAACATAGATAGCATTGGGCTTCCTACAGTCATTTTGATATTGTTATTGGTAGAATTACCCATCTCTCAATATAGTCTGGGACTTAGCCTCTCTGGATAGCTGCTGTTGGGCCAACTTAATAGTTAGCACATCAGAGAAACAGGGGTTCATTAGTTATTGGAAATTATGTACAAATGTTTGTTAATGCATGGAATGCTTCACTAGAAACAGTGGTGGAAGCAAAATAGTAGTAGTTCTAAAAGGAAAACAACTAAAAATTTAAAAGAGTGAAAAGATAACACAACAGAACAGAAAAAAAAATGGAAAGGCTATCTAGAGAGGCCAACTGGGAGAAGCCAAACCACGATACGTATTAACTAGGGCAATGGAACTCTGGTTATGAAATGAATTTCTCCAGGCATCATCTAGAATCCATGATACCACAAGTATATTTGCAGCAATTGATCAGCTGAAGAGTCAAGGTCATATGACAAGCCAAGTAACCCTTTGTGTATTTAGGCATCTCTTTTCTGCACACACCAAACAAGCAAGTGGGAACGTGAAAAAACAAGATTGCTGTGTGGATCTTTCTCTCCAGATACCTTGCAAGGTTTGAACCCTGTCTATATTTTTGATTCACCATGAGATGTAACTAGAGATCTTGATGATAAAAAGAGCTCAACTAAGCAACTGCTACCTTCATACTAATAGATAATTAATCCATTCATATCTTTAAAACACCTTGGTGCTAAATTGAGGAGAATCACCAAGCTAAACCAAAAGCCAGCCATGTCACCAACTTGCAAAATCCATCTACTTTGTTGAACTTTAAATTGCTTGATCTATTCTCCCACTCAATAATCTATTTGCACACTTGTGAACTTCAAGTATGTGTGTGAAAGTCAGAGTGCTTTTATTGTTTGCCTCAGACAAGATTAATTACAATAAAACTGTTCTTTTTCTCTTAAAAAAATTCAAGGAAACCTGTTTGCTTGTGAATTTTCTAATCATATATAAGTAGTTAAACACTTAGTGGATCAATAAGCAGAACCTTTTCAAACAAAAAATACCTGAGGTCAAACAAATTGAGAAAGAGGAGAGCATTCACTTTTCCTCACAAGATCACTGCAGTCAACATGGAGACTATGGTTTAAATTATGCTTTGGGAATTGGTTTTAAAGTAAATATTTACAAATATATTGGATTGTAACCTTACTAATAGGAAGTTCCTGCAATTTTTAATTTTGTGATCCACAGTCTCAGTCACTTTATTATCAAGAATAGCTAAGCAAAAATAAAGCTTGGCATTTAAGCATGTACTTGCTTGCCAAGTCTTTGGCTTCATTAACATCTGCCTAGCACATCAGTTTCAGCTAATTGTTGATAGATAAATATATTGTTTGCCAGAAATACAAATCCTTTGAGTTAGTGCTGCTGCCAATTAACCATTATCCCCATGCTTCAAAATCTCAAACCCAAAGATCTTGCATGCTTCTTTTATAGGCACATTTTCAGTAAACTTTCAAATTAATTTAACTTTCATTGTTATGGACAGAAATCCTACAAATAATACATAGATTGAAAATGTTCATTGCAGGAGGTAAAGCAAAGGGATAGCTAATATATGTCCCCTCACTGAAAGAAACAGATAAGAGAAAACATATCATTTTTTGGATAGGTGTAGTGGAAAAGCATCTCTGTAAACTTGTGCTTTATTTTCTATGGGTGTATATTTTTTAAATTCTTTTAGTTGTTATTCATTCTAAATACAGTCAATTCTCAACATGGAAAAGTATTATTACTGTGTGAGAATCTTTGACTGAGAAGTATGATAGAACATTTCTTAAAAGGATCTGTGGAATCTTAAGAATTTTTGGAAAAAAGTCCTCCAACAATTATAAGGCTACTTATTGTAATTTTCTTGGATAAAAAGAAATCCTGATCTAGGTGACATTGTGATTGCTGACTTGGAGACATTTCCAACATGATAGAAGTTGGGCCAGAAGCCATGTGAGCTAGCAAACACAAAGGATAACTAAACATAGATGAGCTGGAGGGTAAGAGCCCCAGAAGCAGACAGAAACAGAATGCACAGCCTCAGAGGAGAAGAAGCAAATCACTCTCAGAAAGAGGTCCATTTTTTTCCCTTAACTGCAAATGAGATGGAAGCTCTTGGAGGTAATTATGTCACTTCTAAAAAAAAGAAGCTTTGAGGACAATGGGTTAATTTTTAACCTCACCTCCTGGGTGATGACCTGGCAGAGAAAATCATCTACCCAACAATGGAAATTGAAAATTATTGCAGTATCTTTGCCTGAATTGTTTTGTTCACTCCAAAGCCAGGGCTCACCAAAATGGCCTGAAACTTGGAAAGCTGTGTGAATAATTTGGAGATGCAAAACAGCTGGGTGTTTCTTGGAAATGGCAAAACTATTACAATGTTATTTGTTGGCCCATTGAATATTTTTTCTGAATGGGTCATTAGCGTATGGAATTCTCTTCTTCAGAAGGTAGCGGAGACTGAGTCATTGAATTTATTCGAAGTTGAATTATATAGACGTTTGATAGTCAAGGAAATTCATGATTATTGGGTTCAGAGAGGAAAGTAGAACAGAGAACCCAACCAGATCAGCTATGACCTTATTGAATAGTGGAACATTTAATGGTCCAAATCAACTGCTACAGTTCCAACGTTCCTTAAAGGAATGCTGGAAAACTGTTATTAGGATTGCTGCAGTCTGAGGTAGAGAGGGTACAGAGAAGTTCATGAGCTAGGAATGAGGTAACTTGCTAAAAAGAAATGTTGAAGCATTTTTTTTTTTGCATGAGCGCCTGGGTGGGCGAGCAAATGATCCACCTGCCAATGGAAATTGAAAATTATTCTAGTAACCTTTCCTGAATAATTTTGTTTACCTCAGGACCCAAAATCTTCTTAATGGGCTAAGGGCAGTGACATTGGAAACCCACTTTCTCTTAACACAGGGAATGATTTGATTGCATGTAGTGCAGTCAGGGAATGTTCCATCCAAGCATATAAATGCAAAGTCAGTTTCTGGTCATCATGTACTAAATTCTAATCCGCTAAGAAGTAAACTAAGGAAACAAAATTTTCCAAAATTTCAAATAAGCTTTGTTGATGTCTTAGTACAGAAATGTTCAGTGTGATATGGTAGAATGAGATTTGACTGGAGGCACATCCTTTGAGAACGTTCAACAGAATGAAATATGGCAGCATTTTCCATTGATGTTACTCTGCCTTTCCTTGCAAAATATAATAGCATTTACTTTATGTTTTACAAAATAAAGTTTTAAAATATAGCACTTTTCTGCAGCAGTTGTGATCAAATCCAAGATTTCAAGTGCTTTTCAGACTTTTCCAGATCACTTTCAGACAAAACTTTCTTCCATATTCGAGCAGAGCAAGAAAGAGTCTACAAGCCGAGGCTTAATTAGCTGCTGGTAGTCTGATTCCTCAAAGCTTTGTCGACAGGAAACTGCTAGTCTCCTCAATGCAGCCTAGAATAGACAGAGAGCCATAGATCAAAAAATAGCATATTAACATTAATTAGTTAAGAGCTAATGCCTGGCCAGAACCTGTGAACGAAAGTGACAGTGCATAACTTAATACTTAAGAAAATTTATTTGCTCTGAAGAGCGAGGCATTTTCCTGTTAATACAGCTCTTTGACATTAAATGTATTCTTTTTGTCTATTTATAAAGCTGTCTTTTTAATATTTTAACAATGTACTTTATTGCCACTTCTATTTTCACATTGTTAGCCCATTCCTTTATTTCTCTTGCATGTATTTTTCTTCCTGACTGATGGTTCTAATGGGCATTAAAGATCCTCTGATTAACAGGAGAAGAGGAATTTCCAGTGGTGTCCATTTCAATATTCCTCCCCCAATCTTTTCATTCATTCAAATAAAACAAAGAATTGCAGATGCTGGAGCTGTGAAACAAAACAGAAATTGTGGAGAAACTTAGCAGTCCTGGCAGCAACTGTGGGGAGAAATCAGACTTGACATTTCGAGTCCAGTGACCCTTCTTTAGAAGTGGAAACATTAACTCTGCTTTCTCCCCGCAGATGCTACCAGATCTGCTGAAAATCTCCAGCAATTTCTGTTTTTCTTTTCCTTCATTTGCTGGCTTTAGAATTATATTACATAAACTGGTTGCTGCTTTAAAAGTTATTTACTATAAGTAAAAGTCATTTTGAAGTCTTGAGGTTGGGAAAGGCACTACATCAAAGTATAAGTTCTTTCTTCTTCTTAAGCAACTTTATTTTTGAAAGGCATTGATTCCTACTTGAATGCAGTTCTAAGGTTGCCAGTAGCTTTAAAGTTCACCATCCAAGTAGCTACTTACAAGTTATCCCTCACAATGAATGTCAGCAGGCTTTCTGGCATGTACATTTTCCAACATACAGCACTGTTCAGTAATGGGAGCCCTGAGTCATTTTTCTTCCCCACAGAACTGAGGAAATAAATCTTTCATGCTGCACAACATTCATCACTTAAGCTTAGTGTCAATATCTGAATTCCTGGTGCATTCTGTTACTGCTACATACATGGCATAAAATATCTTGTACACACTTTGACTTTCTAACCAAAAACTGAGTTTTTGTGATAAGAGTTTATCAATCATTTCAAGTCAACTCTCAAAATGGGAACTTCCATGAGAATTCTGCTAAGAAGATGATTTCATAATTTGCGCCTCCAGCCGGTAGAGTCTGTTATAACTGATATTCTGTCCATCTTTAGTAGTTTTGCTTTTGGTATCAATCCTTCTCAATTCATGAAAATTTAGGATGATTGTTTGAATTTTATGACCGATTTTTCCTGTACTAATACAGGAACTATAATGTAGAAAGAAGCAATGATATTTGCATTGATTCTTGACTGTAGCAAACCAAAATTAATCCTACTGCCCCAAGCTCTCCGTTTAGAACTACACTTTTCTCTGTTTCAAAAATCGATGCATCTTTTCAGGGAAAATTGAGATGGTCTCAGCCTTAACAATTTTTGTGTTAGAGCATTCAATGTTCTACAAAGTAACTTCTCCTCATCTCTCTTCCTTGCTCTTCCAGGGCGCTGTCACTGACTTCCTAACCAGATGAATTTTGACGGAAACTTCCCAGACCCTGAACAACGTGGTCTATGGTTTGAAATATTGGGAAAATCATGTGGTATGTTGGATCCTGATGTCGAGACCAAAACAGAATTGCTTTCTCCAATTTAGTGACTAACATTGAGATGAGATTCTTGCTCATGAGCAGGAAGATGCTTATCAATGGGGATTATCGCACATCATCACCCTCAGTATGACTCACTCCCACCTCATTAATATGCAGACTCCCATTTTACCACCTACCAAATAGAAACGATTCCCAACAGATAAGTTTGAGAGGGTACCTGGTGAGTCCAGTCACTGTTTGCTCGTAAGGACAGAAAAGCGTAAGAAATAGGAGGAGGAATGGGTTATTCACCTCCTTAAGCCTGGCCCATCATTCTATAAGATTATCACTCATCTGCCCCAGGCCTCAACTCTTTTATACCAGCTCCTCATATCCTTCAACCCTTAATATTTCAAATATCTACCACCACAACACTCTGAAGCGGTGAATTGCAAACATTCACAACCTGCTGGAAGAAGAAATTCCTTTGAAATGAATGTCACTTTATTCTGGAACTGTGTTTCCTAGTTCAAAATTTCCCAGACAGTTGAAACGTCTTCTCAATATCTATGCTCTCAAGCCCCCTCAGAATCTTTTATACTTCAATAAGATCACCCCACATTCTTCTAAACTCTAATGAATAAAGACTTATCCATGTTAACTATTCTTGGTTAATCAACAGCTGTATCCAAGGAATGAGCCCATTGAATTCATTTGAACAGCCTCCGAAGCCAATATATTATTTCTTAAATAAGGGGCTGAGACTGCACACAGCACTCCATGTGCAGCCCCATCAACATGCTAAATGCTGAAACAAGACTTCCCTATTTTTAAACTTCAATCCCCTAGTAATAATTCTATTGGCTTTCATTATTACTGATTGCAACTGTGTGGTGACTTTTTGTGCGTCACACAGAGGAATATCTCACATTCCTCCGTGTTGTACTTTTGAGATGCTTCTCTCCATTTAAACAATAATCTGCCTTTTGATTCTTCCAAGTGAAGTACATGACTTCACACTTACTGCATTAAACTCAATCTTCTGTACTAATTGCTTCATTCTTTATGAACCAACCCACTTGCGCACTGTTTCAGAAACTGTTCTTTCAGACCTCCACTTTGGGTAGCCATCAACATCTCAGGGCAGACTCCATGGGCAGTGTCTACACAAACTCCACCTTCACTGACATTGGCGTCTGATACCTACCAGTCTAATCACATCATCATCGTGACATATCTCTGATCCACGTACAATATGCTTCTGCACTGTAAATGCTGCATGTTGAAGCACATTGGCACCTTTCATTGTAATGCTGTTGTGAGAACACTTTATAAACAGGCACAGGTATCCAGCTCAGAGATTGGATCAAGCTGTTCATTTGCTTTCTTCGTGCACAGTCAGTTTGCTCTAACTGAATGCTCACTGCATCCCTGCCTTGACGTTTTGCATTTTTGCACTCAGCCAGACATTAAATTCACACAGTACTTGTGTTTTGCCTTGCTGTTCAGTTCAGACACAAAGCCAAGCAGATTGTCATGGTTGTCAGCAGTCAGGGATTTGCCATATTGCTGCACGGCACTGTGTTATGTCAAACTCACACCTCCATCATGGCCCAGCAGCCTAGGCAGTAAACACACTGCCTGTGCATCAATCAAATGGCCATGTCACATGTTTGAAAAGGAGTAGCTCTCAGTAAAGTCAACAAGGGCAGCCTTAAGTCGGGGATCCCAGTACCATAAGTCAAGGGCAGCATCCATTCACGGTCCACGGCTGAACCACAGTCAGTCATGTACTTGAGACAGGCAGGGCAAGGGGGTCCATATCACTGCAGACTAGGGAGTAGGCCACAAACCAGTCCAGTGCAAGCTGTCAGGGGATTGTTAATCGGGGATCTGCACTGAGAGCAGTAAGAGGGCCAGTCAGTTGTTGAGGTAAGGGAGGAGATTGCTGAGGCCTTGACAAAGATCTTTGCATCCTCTTTAGCCACACAGAAGGTACCAGAAGATTGGAAAATAGTCGATGCTGTTCCTTTATTTAAGAAGGGCAACAGGGATAATCCAAGAAATTATAGGCCGGTGAGCCATCAGTGGTTGGGATATTATTGGAGAAGATTCTGAGGAAGAGGATTTCCATGCATTTGGAAAAGAATGGACTTCATTTGATTTGAATCATTATTGTCATAGTACGGTGTGACAGGTCCAGTGAAAAGTTTTGATTTTTGTGCAGTACAGGCAGATCATACCATACAAAGTGCGTAAGGGTAATTGAACAAAAGCAAAGAATACAATGTTATGGCTATAGGGAAGATACACAGAGAGTGAGATCAACATTAAATTTCAAACTTGAGAGGTCCATTCAGAAGTCTAATAACAGCGGGGAAGAAGCTGTTTATGAATCTATTCATACGTGTCTGTAAACATTTATATCTTCTGCCCGATGAAAGAGCTTTAAAGAGATTATAACTGGAGACTTGGATTATGTTGGTTGCTTTCCTGATGGAGTGAAAAGTATAGATAGAGTCAAAGTATAGATAGTTTGTGTGATGGACTAGTTTGTGTGATGGACTGGGCTGTGTTCACAACTCTCTGTGGTTTCTCATGGTCCTGGGCAGAGCAGTTGCCGTACCAAGCCGTGATGCATTGATACGACGCTTTCTATGGTGCAATTATAAAAATTGGTAAAAGTCCTTGTGGACCTGCCAAATTTACTTAGCCTACTGAGGAGGTAGAGATGTTGTTGTGTTTACTTGACCATCGCATTGACATAGGTGGACCAGGACAGATCGTCAGTGAGGATCACTCCCAGGGACTTGACGCTGTCGACCATCTTCACCTCAGCGCCATTGATGCAGACAGGGGCGTGCCCTCCACTCTGCTTCCTGAAGTCAATGACCAGCTCCTTTGTTTCGTTGATGTTGATGGAGAGATTTGTTGTCTTTACACCATGCCACTACGAACTCAATCTCTTTCCTCCACTCTGTCTCATCGTTGTTTGAGATCACCTACAACATTGGTGTTGTTAGCAAACTTGTAATTGGAGTTGGGACAGAATTTGGCCACACAGTTGTGAGTGCATAAGGAGTGTAATAGGAGACTGAGTACACAGGCTTACGGGGCACTGGTGTTGAGGATTACTGTTGAGAAGGTGTTGTCACCTATTCTTACTGATTGCAGTCTATTGGAGTCAAGGATCCAGTTACAAAGGGGTGAGCCAAGACCTAGGTCTCGGAGTTTAGAGATGAGTTTGTTTGGAATTATGGTGTTGAAGGCGGAATTGTAGTCACTAAGTGGGAGCCTGACATAGGTATCCTTGTTATCCAGATGTTCAAGGGATAAGTGT